TTTGAGTTTGGATTAAGGGAAAACTAACAGTACCAGCACTCCACACAATCTGTCATTAGTACTGGACAGGGATTCCATTAGTGTTGGAATACTGCTCCCAGCACAGCCACCAGAACTGACCTCCCTCCTACACCCTACTTGTCCCACCTAATAATGTAGGGACATGGCCCTAGAACAGGCTTCATGGGCACAGAACAGACTCACAGGGTTATTTCAGTGTCATTGTCAAACAGTTCAAATGTACCTTTAAAACACAATTATGGTACAAGTACAGTTTGGTTATTGAGAGGTTAGATTTACTGTATTTCACAGGAGTTAAATTTTCACCATGCCCCACACTTCCTTGTCATTATGGCATACCTTTTGCATCCACTGAAAACAGCTGCACAGCTCCACACCTTTTCTCCATTTTTTAAGGCAATCTCCTCTAGCCCTGGGACCAAAGTTTGTTCCCCATCTCCAGAACTGTACCCGTGTCAGGGTAGTTTTATGGTGTCAGCCAGGGAAGAGCCACTGAGCATAATCCCCTAGCACAAGTTTATTCAGAATTATAGTTTTGCAGCTTTCCCACAGTATCTTAAATATAAGACCAAAAAGGCTAAGTTACCCACGGACTCTAAATCCATTAATTTAAACTCAACCCTGGGTCACATTTTTATCTTAACCTCAGCAGATCTGAGTCTCAAGGACATGTGTGCAAACAAAAAGTATATAGTCCATCCTAATTTTGGGTACCACTCCCAGCCCTACAAGAGTTGATCCGCATGAGCAAATGCTACCTATTCGCAAGAGCCAAGGATCACTCACCTCTCTGTCTGTACTCTTCAGGCTCCATGGTGAGTCCCTACAAAAGCACCTCCTCAAACCTGGGCCACAACCTTTTGGGAGCTGTGGGCAGTTTGGTCTGGTGCCCTGCTAGCTGCTTCAGCCTTTATAGCTCCTTTTATCTCCCAGGCTCACGCATTCTGGAGACAGCTAAGCATAGGCAGGTTATTGGGGAATGTTTATCTAACTCCTCCCAACTGGGGGCTTTTACAATCTCTCATGTTCTCATCTGTGCTCTTTTGATGTGTAAGATAGTGTATCTCTAAGAGGAGCTGCCTCTGCACTACCCCTTTCCCATTTTCAATCAATCTTTCATTAGCCTCACAGTAATCCATGTCATGAATATAAAACACATTAACATGAGACTTGAAGGAGAGAAAAAGCTCAAGAGCTTCCAAAACCAAATAAAAGTTAGGAGATGTTACACCAGCAAATGTCATGCCAGCAAACCCAGCTACTGTGCTAGCAGTAGTCATTAAAACAAGGCACCAGAGAGAGCAGATCTGACACTGCAGGCAGAGATATACCTGCATCCCCACAGGTCTTCAGTCCTTATCCTGTCATTCCCATGCTGCCAGAAGGAAAGGCTTTCCAGTTATCGCCAGTTCCAGAACTGCAACACAAAACAGCAATGATCCTCCTTGTGGATTCCTGCCCTTCCAGATCAGACCAGGTTACACAGACCAGGGTGATGCTCCTCCACAGGTATCCCCCTAGATAGCTGAGCTGGGAATATGCATCTTTTTCCCCTCACTGTGCTTGCTTTTCTCATACATGATATGCAGAAGCACTGGGATTTGGTCTTGTCTCTTCAGAATTCCTCTAAGTCCTGCACCTGGATTGTTCTCAGTTTGAAAGAACAGACATGCAGATACCCCTTTGTCCATTTAAGGGCCTGAAAACACATCCTGACCTATCTCTGGCAGCTCAGCCTTTGACACTGTACTCAATGTTGAGCATTTAGCATCTTCACTTGCTCTGCACTGTACCAGGCAGCCCTGGGAAAAAAAAGAGGGAAGACTTATGGACTGAGCAGCAGAAAGAGAAATTACTACAGTACAATATATTCTTGCCCTATTTTTGCTATACCCTAGGCTCCTGCTTAGGGCTGGCCCTGCCAGAGACAAGACACCAGGCTAGGCAGAGCCTTCACCTGATGCATGACATCAGTTTTGCTGTTGTCTTCCTACAGAAGAGAAGTGGCTGCCAGAGCAGCTTTGATTTTCTGCCTCATGTACTCTAACACAGCCCAGACACTTTCATTATTCTAGAAAGTTGTTCCATCATTCTCACAGCAGAGTCTACAGTGTGAAACCTTTCCTAGTTTCTGCTGCAATTAGATATTTGAGAAGGAACTGTTTTGTAGATATGACAAAGATGCTGCGATACACACACATCAGATTAATGTACTGAAATAAAAAACCCCAAAAAATTGATAAAAAAAGGCATTGAGAGAATAAGTACAAATAGTGCAAAAAATACTATGTGCATATTTATCTGCTTTATCTCACATTTCTCTGGAAACATTAGAAAAAAACAGCAAGCTGCCCACACAATTAATATCAAGTTATGAATCTCTCTTGCCTTTACTGTAAATGATCCCATAAAGGGGAACCAGGAAGGGGAGAAGGAACTGGCATCAAGCACAGAACCAACTCAAGAAGAACTCAAAGTTCTCAAAAACTGTGCTTCTAGCTTATTACAAGTAACTAATACATTAGTATATATGGACATCTGTTCAAAAACACAGATGGTAACTAATTACATTTATGATTTTGATTTGGAACAGCAAATAAGGAACAATATTTTTAACAATGTTTTCAGAGCTAAACTATACAATAAACATTTCATGTGACATATACCCTGTGCCTTTACTCAAAGGTGACAGTTTCCTCAGGCTGGTCTCTTGTTCTGTGCAGAAGAGAACAGCAGGTCCCGTTGGGAACTAGAATGAAACAGGTGATAACGTATTACAGGTAGGGTAAATATTGCTGGTGATGAATAAGGTTTTGTTATAGCTACCCTGCACTTAGAAGGATTTTGTTACGGACAACGAGGAATAAAATATTTGCTCACAGGAAGCAAGATGAATAGAAAAGGTTCATTTCATTGTTTCCTGCAAAGGTCTGTTCCGTCAGAACCGTGGGAAACTCTCCACTTGGACGGGAACGTTACCACTATCACCACTCAGCCCAGCACTGACATCCTTATCGTTACCAAGAACTCGCGGAGATTACACTGTCGTTAAGTCTGTGGGGTGTGAGGACACAAACATTATTTTGATCACAGACTAATTCAACTGGATCAATGCCTAAGAAGGACATTTACCTTGACCAACTGTTTGCTGACTTTGCTAGTGACATAATGGATAGTTCCTGAAAAAAATCCCTAAAAGAGCAATTTCCAGCTAAACACTGCACAAGGCTTGCTTCAAGTCCTAGTACCAGCATGATAACATCATCCTTGGAAATAATTCTCCTAAAGCCCACCCCCACAGATTTTTCATTTTTATTATCTTTTGATTATTTTTAGGTCAAATTCGGCCAACAGGATCAAATTTACCAAATTCATACCGATACTAGGATAGTTAGATTTTTTCCTAACTGCCAATTCTATAAACTCAGGTCAAATTTTGACCAGCTTGACAGTTTTGCACAGTACAATGCAATTCTTTCCTCACTTCTCCCTCCTACCATTTAAGGCCATTCCAAGTCTAAAACTGGTTTTGCACATTTTTCTGAACACAGAGCAGCTTTGACCTTCTAATGCACACACAGAACAATTGAAATTGATTCTACACTATATGTATGTGGAAAAGATATTTAATTGTAAAATAGAAAAAGTAGGCCAGAGTACAGTTTTAAGGGTAATTCTTCCGTGTACAGTATAGGTAAACTAGACTTTTTGCTTAAGTTTATATAAACAATTCCATAAAAGCAGTGAACATGGAACAACAAAGCAAAGCACAAAGAGATTTATCTTACAAAAAACAAATCTGCACAGTAGTTCAAAATTTAATGTAACACAGCACTGAACAATCTTAAGGCAGCTCAGTCTAAGCACAGGACTAGAAGCCAGGAACTCCTGAGACCCATTCCCAGGTGACCACAGGTTCACGTGGTGTCAAGCCAGTCATCCACACTCCCTTGTGTTGCACTGATACCAGTTATAAAATTGAGACAGTAACACTTACTTACCTGCCTTGGGCAGTACAGTAAGGGTTCTTTAAAAGATTTTACAATGCTCTGAAGATGTAACGTGCCATCTAAATTTTAAGCATAATAGATCACTGCACAGACACACACAAACACAGTATCACAGTGAGGAACAATGATGCTGGGCAAGAAGAGCATCAATACAACATAAAAAAAATTGTTTGTCCAATTGCATAATTAAAATGCCAAAGTCTGTTTAGAAAAAAATATATCACTGAAGTCATTTCGAGGCTATTGGGGAAGAGAGATCAAAAGGAATATCCTCAAAGAACTACTGTTTGTGTTTCAGTGGAGACATTCTTTCCTGTTCCTTACTGAACTTTAACTTGTTTGCACAGGAAACTTGTAAGACACACAAAGTGAAGTTTCAATGCCTCCACTATTGAATTTTGCCTCTTAATGTGTAAATTGAGATACTTTTTTGTTCTTCTTAATTACAAAGTACATTCTTCCAAGAAATATACCATCCACAATAAAACTGGCTGCTAGCTTACTTCAAATGACCTATAGGCTAAACATTTTTCTCATCATTTTTCTCATCTTTGCTGAAAAATACCTATGCAAGATGTATGTGTAGAAATTATAAAAACATGCAGCATATGTACAAACTGAAAAGTTTAAAAAATATTAGCTTCATATACATGTAAATCTACTTGGATATATTTGAAATTAAATATAAAAATTTCACCACCTAAAATAAAAAAAACCCCAAATATGGTTTTCAGAGAATCTGAGACAACTACTTAAAGCTGTACAAAGATTTCCACCTGGAAATGTCTTATTCAGAGAAGCTGATTGAGTTTTTCATCATGTAGAAATAACTGTTCATTAATTTTGTCACATAATTAATTTTCAAGCTGTCAGCTTAAATCAACAACATCACCCTTAAAACTGTTCTGTTTTTCAGAAGTTAGATTCATACTAAAATCAAAAATTTCACAAAAACATTGGCTTTTCGTGTTCCTGGATCCCTTCAAAAAGATTTATCAACTCATTTTGAAACTGTAAAAAAACCAACTATTTACAGTATTTCATTTTAAATACTTTTCACAATTCCTAAATTCAGAGTTTTTATGTTACAAGAAATTAATCAGAGCTCACGGCTTAAGTCCAGTTATCAACTTGTAGCATCTTCTCTATCATGTAATCCCGTGTCTGCACCTATATAGTGTACAGTTCAAGATTGTACTGCAGGTGTTTGAAAGTAACAGGCTTTGCAGAATGTTCATTTTTTATTAAACAGCTTCTTTATTAGTCTGGAGGCGGTTCATTGCCTCTAACTTCTGCCGATAGGCCTCTGCTTCTTGTTCCTTCTTTAGAAGCTGCTGACGATATTTTTGTGCTTCTCTGTTTGCCTCATCCAGCTGTTTCTGAAGAGTTTCTCTTTCCTGTTAGAAACAGAAGCATCAATGTTTTGTCAAATAAATATCAAATACAAGTTACAATGGCAAATACTTTTCCTTTATGTGCAGCTCAAGTGTTAGGGTATCATCTAGAAACTGTTCAGCTCTTACTTGGGTAAACCTGTGTGAATGCAGCTGTAAAAATCAGAAAGGAATTGCCACACCAGACAACTCCCCACAATAAAGCTTCAAGTGTGGATACAGCAAACCTGAGTTTATTTAGCTGCAAAGGTACCACACAAGTCTCTATCCAAAAAGAGCTAAATAAAGCTGGAAGCATGGTGACTGAATACTGACATAGTGTATTAACATTTCTCCAGTGATTCACCTCCCTTTGTTACTTTTTAAAACTGGAATCCACTCTAACAGGATTCTCCCTTGCTGCTGTATTT